TATATATTTAAGGATATTGACTTTCTGGGTCTTTTATCCCAGGTGGCATAGATATAGATGCATTTCAAGACCGTGAAGAAGGCCGCGCAGGGCTGGATGATAATGAAGAGGTTATGCGAGCACTGCTCATTCATGAGAAGAAAACTCCCTCTGCCATGGCAGGCTCAGTGGGGGCAGCTGCTCCTGTGACCACTGCTAATGGCAGCGACTCAGAGAGCGAGACCAGTGAGTCAGACGATGACTCCCCACCCCGTCCAGCAGCTGTGGGCGTACATCATCGGGAAGAGGATGAGGAAGACGATGAGTTTGAGGAAGTAGCAGATGACCCCATTGTCATGGTGGCTGGTCGTCCGTTCTCCTACAGTGAAGTGAGCCAGCGACCAGAGCTGGTGGCACAGATGACACCAGAGGAGAAGGAAGCATACATAGCAATGGGACAACGGATGTTTGAGGACCTCTTTGAGTGAGCTTTCCCTGCCTTTTCCTCCTTTCGCTGATGCTCATTTCAAAAAGAAATTGCCTACCCTTGAAGGAAAGTATTTAAGTGGCTTTCTGCCTCTTTTGATGTAAACCGACTGTTAATCTTGCACAAAAAATAATGGGAGACAAAGTTTGATTTTTATGCCAGAAACTTCCCAACAAGGTAGGTTGGCTACAAGCATTCCCTTCCCTGCTATTATTACAGTATTAATATTTTAGTGTGTTTTCTTATCTAATCTCTTTCCTTTTCAAGGCATTGTTGCCCTTCTGAAATAAGTGAAGGAAGTCTATATTCTTTCTGTCGGCCCTCAGAAGCCCACTATGATAGGTACAATAATTCACTGATCACATTTTTAAAAATCTGTTCTGACCAAGCATTCTAAACATTTCCTTATATTGCTGCCAACCAAAGCAGCTTGCCAACAGCAAATCACTGATGAGGGAAAAAACAATCTTAAAACTTCATACTGCCTCACAATTGAGAATAGAGTCAGTAAGTAATGGGATGAGGGAGAGTATGCAGAAGGGGGATGGATAGACCTAAATCTCATGATTAATATCTAAACCAAAATGTGTGTCTTTAGAACTGACCTGACTGATAGATTCTATTGTTTTGCTTACTGCTTTTCAGTTTGTGTGTTGGATGATAAAAACAGAGAGTGTGCTTGGTAAACCCTTTGAAGAAATTAGAAAAAAACATGAACTTGGAACAGAGAGTCCACGTAAAGGGTTGGAGTGGAAAGCATTGGGAACAGTGCCTTTCAGAATTGCCTGAGCTTGCGCTGATTTGGAAATCTTTTATAGAAAGATGAGACTGGTCCCTTTCTTTTTCCATTCTAATACAGTGCTTTAAATTGTTTAATGAGGCCATTCCAGCAGTAATTAGCACATAGCAATGGATTTCTCCTCTCTTTTCTCTCTCAACATCATTGAAAGCTTTCTTTGTCTCTTTTGATTGTTGTCAGACATGGTTTTTTAGAGTATATCCAGTATACTGTTGAGCATTGTAACCTCAAGGAACGTAGTTTATTTTTGGTTCTGGTATGTAGCATGGTATTAGTCCCTAAGGCAGAGCTTTAAAAGTAAGGAACTTTCATGTAAGAATCTATATCAATTGTATTTTTTGTAATGCTTTCCTTTGCATTGTAATTTTTAAGTATTTATCATTTTATAGTACATGCGTGAAGTTAAGATAGCTTTTAGAGTATCTGAGCCTTATGTGAAGTGATGTTTCATTTACCTGGGTTATATAAATGACTGAATATTGACAGCTCTATTTTATACTGACTGAAATGTGTTAATTTCCAGCTCTGTAACACCTTGGAGCATAATTAAAATGAATACTCTTCTCATTAAAAAAGTTTCAGACTTTTTTCTCTTATTAGTCCTATTTTAAATAATAGATGCAATTGTATGTGGACCAAACTTTTTCTGACAATAAGTTGCTTTAAGAATGAGTTTTATGTATATACCTGGTACACATGGGCTGTTCAGCTTTTAAACATTGTTTTTTAAACTTTCGTAGTTCTAGAACGAAGTTCATTTAAAGAAAATAGTGATCAGATGTTAAGTTTTAAAACTTAGTTTTGGGTAAAACTATCAGCTCTTTATTTCAATGAATAAATGTTCTCACTTTTTTCTTGAATCTAACTTGCATATTGTACTTCCTAAAACTAGCATTCTTTTTTTCTTTCCCATTATCTGCCAACTTCTTAAAGGATCATAGACTATTTACATCTTTATCTCCATCTTGCAGTCTGGATTTTGCCCTATTCCTACACTGAAACAGCTTCCTCCAGTCCTAACTGACCAGCCTAACAGCCCTTTATTCCTCAATTTCTTTAGCTGCTCTTCAGTATTTGATACTATCAACCCATTCTCTCTCTTTGAAATGTTTTCATTTAGTACCTTAGCCATTACAATGTCCTTGTTCCCTTGTTCTCCTTACTTCATTGTCTGTTCCTTCTCAGTCTTCAGACTATACTTTTCCCCCTGCTGTACGTATAAGCATACCTCAAGGCCTAGTTCTTTTTTCCCTTCTTTGTGTGTGTATGTCTGCATGTACATGTGTATGAGTTTATATTATGGAAAAACTTCAAAAGTGAAGACAAAAGTATAAGTAAGTGTATTCATTGCAACAGTGTTTGAAATTGAATAGATAGATGCATAGATATACTAAATATGGACTAATCAGGGATGAAATTATTTTCCTAAGAAACCATGTAGCTATTACAAAGAATGTACTGATAGGAAAAAATATTTGTAGTGTGTTAAGTATAGAAGGATTCCATTTTTCTACATGTGTGTACATGTAAAGAAAAAAGCTAATAAATGTATCTAGGTACCAACTTTTTAACATATGTTGACTCATTTAATTTTTATAACCTGTAAGGTAGATATATGTGTACAAAGATATATATATATGTGTGTGTATATATGTGTGTATATATATATATATATGTATATATATAATTAGAGTTGAGAATTACAGTGGTCTTAATATGTTATAGTGGAAAAGATATTTCCATTTTGGAAAGAGAATTAAATGGACAAAAGGTCAATCCTGGTAGGATTAAAGAAATAGAATGACAAAAGGAAGCTTTTTATTAATGCTAGGATTATTAGGTGTGCCTTTTTAAAAAAAATCCTGGATTTATCATTAAATGTCTCTGAATTTATACTCAAAATTAATAGGAAAAATATAACTTAATGTATGAAATTTTATACATTACCCGTATTTTGATAATATATCTAATGACTCAATAGAGTTTGATATTACTTCATCAGACAGGTTTATGTCTGTTAAGTGGCATAGTATTCTGGTGAGAAAAGCCAGTTAGTGACAGAATGACCAAAAATGAGAGCCTCTGAAATCAGCCTCTGAAGCTCTAGGCAGGTCAGACCCACACCCAAGATTGGTTGACACCTGTAGTCGCAGTATCTGTTGACCTTAGGATGGCTGGAGTTGTTATCACCCACAGCCTATATAATAAGGGATGGTTGGTAACTTGTCTCTCAGTGAGGTTGGCTGTATTAGTATAACTCATATGTCAGCTTCCCAAGTGTCCTAACTTTTCCACTGTCCTTTCAGATTTAAATAGAACATTTTTTATCCTAACATCGTGGGATACTTCTTCAGTATCATTTTGTTTTTGGTGAGGGGCGGGATGGGGTATGGAAGAGGCTGGTAGTTTGTATCCTCCTGCTCTGCCTTCTTGCTTCCCTGGCTTCGCCACCTTTTCTCTGTACCACCTATCCTGACTTCCAGAGTGCCATCGATGCAGGTCTGTGGAACAGCTTCATTGAAGTTTTTACATTACTGGGCAGGGGACAGGCAATGACAGGAATTTTTGTCTCAGCATTACATCATCAAGGAATACAAGAGTAGATTGTATACGTCCTTGTTCTTAAGAAGTCTCTTCACCATTCTCACAGGTTTTATCTCAAGTACAATCTTGGCTTTAAACTAAAATTTCAGCTCCCTTTTTACTTCTCTTCATCAACCCTTTCTTTCCAAAGGCCTCAGAAAATTATAAATGTATTAGAGAAAATAACTTTTTTCTTTACTTTATCCCTAGTCCAAGTAGTGCCTTGAAAGCTCCTATAAAATCCAAAGTGGCCTATCAGGATATTTCCCAAACCAAGGAGCCATCATTTCCTCACGTCTAAAAGTCAGCATGGGAGGTCAACTGTGACTTTAAAAGGAACTTTCTTCTCTTCACACTGTACTAAAAAATATTACTCATCATACTTTACTGTAAGTAAGGTCATGAATAAACAGCTCTGGCCCTTGGTGATCCATAACCTTGTATCTGGTGGAAAACTGCTTTCATTCCATCTGCTCTTGAAGTTGAAGGCTTTTTCTTATTTAGATGCCCCTTTTTTCTAAAACACCTTAAGGAATATTACGTTTAAATGATTAAAAGAAAATGTCCAATTTGGCATAGCCTGGTAGTCATGAAACTACCCTGACTACCAGCTCCAGTTAACTAGACACTAGCGCTGTGACACTGTTATCTGATGTAATCTTTCTGGGCCGGTTTCTCAGCTGTCAATAGTGAGAGGATTATGCTAGGATCACCAATGATTCCCTTCTCTGAAATTTTATGGAGGTAATACTTTTTTAAAATGAGGCCAAATATTAACAGTCCCCCCTCCAAAAAAAGGAAAAACAAAAAAACAGAAGTCTTATGTGCTACAGCAAGTCAAACCAAGTGAAGGACATTTTAGTTGAGGGACTAGTTAGTGTACATGGCAGGTTTAATATTTATAATGTAGTAAGCCACAGAATAAACGATCACTAATTAAATTTCTCTATCTTGCCAAGGTACTTCATGTCTCATCATCTTAATGACTGAGGAAGAAGAATTTAGTATTTCATAACTTTTTGGTACTGTTTCGAGAGAATTTGGGCATTGAATGGGAATAAAATTGGGAAAAGCAGTTCATTTTCTTTTCTACCAGTTGGTTCTATGGCTAGATTCCCAGCCAGGACCACAACGGAAAGACTTAACCATATGTATTTTCTTTTTTTCTTTATTCCTGAGTTTTAAAAAAGTAACTAAGAAATGACAATAAGAAAACAAATACGAAAATCTTTGGAAAGTACATATGTACTTTCTTTTTTTCTTTATTCCTGAGTTTTAAAAAAGTAACTAAGAAATGACAGTCAAAAAACAAATATGAAAATATTTGGAATTTAGAAATTGATATAATTCCACCTTGTTTGTTTAGCATTTTATTTCCACTGAAGCTATTCCACATGTGTTATCTCTAGCCATGCTAGGCTACTACCACTTTGTTTTTTAAAAATATCTAAAAATCTCTTGGGAAAATGAAGAAGTATTTTAGAAAGAAACTGGCACTATTATAAATTTATTGTCTATTCTGTTGGCTTTTTATGTTAATAAAAGAAGCAAAATGAACTGTGAACAGAATAAGTACAGGTGTCTTATAACATGCAAAGCCAAA